TCTCTCTCTCTCTCTCTCTCTCTCTCTCTCTCTCTCTCCCTCTCTCTCATCTCTTCATTTCTCAGTCAATATTTTTCTTTCTCTCTCCGACCCCCACCCCCAACCCCTCCCTTTATCAAGAGACATACACACGGGACTATTAACACCAAGGTAAATTAGAAGCACAAACGCGACAGTATAACCAAAGTTCCCCGTTATCATTAATTACTTTGCCTTGATTTTTTCTTCTTACCATGGCTCCCCTTTATCCCTCATTACCTTGCCTTGATTCTCTCCTCATAGCTCCCCATTCTAAGCCATTACCTTGCCTTGATTCTTTCACCATGGCTCCCCATTATCACTGATTACTTTGCATTGATTCTTTCCTATAGCTCCCCATTCTCAGTCATTACCTTGTGGCGTCGGTAGCCTAGTGGTTAAGCTACCGGACTCGTTATCGTGAGATTGTGGGTTCGGGGGTTCGAGCCTCAGCTCGGTCCGACGTTGTGTCATTGGAAAAGGCACTTTACACGAACTTCCCACTTGGTTCGGTCCTATCGGAGACGGACGTTAAACTAGGACGTCCCGCCCCTTAAATAACCTAATAGTGTTGATAGGGGCGTTAAACTCATACCATTTCATACCATAATTTACTCATTACCTTGCCAGGAGTTCTCGCTGCCATCCGACCAAGCCTCCAGCCCAGCAGACTGGTAGTTGTGAGAGATTAGTCCACAGATGTCGTCTGTCAACGACCGGATGTCCCCGAGCTGCCGGTTGATTCCGCCAGTCACGTCCTCGCACGCTCGGTAAGCTCCGGAGAGCGACGTGAAGGCTCGGGTAAACTCGGGAACCTCGTCGGCGAACTCCACGATAGGACGCGTCATGAGTTGGGACTGGTAGTCTGTGAGAATTGACTTGGCCTCTCTGGGGGGGATAGTTGGACAACATTAATGTCTCGGTGCTTAAAACAGGTTGGGGGGGGGGGGGTTTTGTAGTTTTTCTTTGGTTGGGGGTGTTTGGAGGGTTTTTTTTCTTTTGTTTTTTCTTTCTTTTTCTTAAGTTGAAATTAAGATAGCTTCTGTTGTAATCGTTGATGCTTTTGTTGTTGTTGTTGTTGATGTTGTTGTTGTTGTTTCTGTTATTGTTGCTGTGTTGCTATTGTTTCTGTTGCTGTTGTTGTGTGTCATTGATGTTATTGTTATTGAACGTAGTGTATTTACATTGTGATGCTGCTGGTGAATGTGATGCCTTTATCTAGCAGAGTACATACAAGATAACATCCGATAAATCGTTATTGCCCAGTTGATGGCACATTGGTTTGGTGTTTCAAAACACGTTCACATACACACACAAACACACACACACACACACACACACACACACACAAACAAACACACACAAACACACATACACACACTCAAACACACAAACAAACACACACACACACACACACACAAAAGTACACACATACACATACCACACACACGCACACGCACATGCGTGAATGCACACACCCATATATATACTCTCTTGCGCCTCCTCTCTTCAATTCACATAATATACCATGCTTACTTGCAGTCAAACACATACTTCAAATGAACAATCATTGTTAACAATATAGTGTTGAGCTAGATACAATATCCTATCGCTATTTGTATATATAAGGAGAACTTTGATGCATGAATTGTTTGCAACAGATGAAAACAAACCACGTCTAAACCTCAAAATTTAACTTAGCACAATTTATATCTCAATAACGAAACCGTCAGTTCGGACACTCACCCAAACAGCTCCTGTAGGCTCCCTTGCATGTAAGACATACGATCCACGGCTTCTTGTATCCGAGACAAACGGTCGCGGTTCGAATCCGGACTGTTGCTTCCAGCGAGAGCGCTCGAGTTGATGGGAATTCCAGAGATTCCCGCGTCCTCGGCACAAGTGCCAGGTTTATGGACTCCGCCATTCCGGAACTGCAGGGACAGAGAGTCCTCACGTGACCCGTCATCCCCGGGTGCTTGACTAGCGTCCGGTCTTGGAGATTCTGAGTCTTCTGTAAGAAAAGTTCTGCCTACTCCTCCTCCTCCATCACCATTAGTAGATTCTGGTCGGTGTAAGTTTTGTTTATCTGATGGGGAAGGAGAAGTCACATGACCGCCAGAGTTGGCGTGAGAGACCATACCAATGACGTCATCCGTTTTGTGGATGTCTCTGCTGTCGTCACTGTTGAGACTCCAAGTCTCGGCGCCTTTGGTGGCTCTACCCTGCGTGGCTGAACCTTCTTCGGTGCACACGCTAGAGTTGTCGTCGTTCATTGGCGAACCGCCGTCTGGCGTGGCTTGCCGCCTGCGAGGGGGCGGCTTGTGGTTCTCTTTGTTGTTTCTAATACTTCCCGTCGCTGAATTCCGAGATGAAGCAGATGCACCGCTGGACAGGCGGCCTCTTTTGCTAGACGTTGTGCTCATCGTGTCGGTGTCGTTTTGACCCCGACGCCTCGGGTGACTAGATTTAGGCCTCACCGTGCGAGTTTGGCACGAGGGGTCACTTTGCTGCATGTTGGGAGTGGAATGACCAACAACAGCACGCTCTTCGGTAGAATTTTCTTGCAACAGCGTCAGATCTGGAGCAACAGCTCTATGGTTGCTGGAGTTCTCACACTCCTCGTCGCTGTCACCGAGATCGGTGTGTTCGGTTCTTGGTCTAAATGAACGTTGTCGGGGTGTTAAATTTCCGCCTTCAGCAGAGAATTCAGTATCGTGAGCTCTGATGTCTTCTAACGACTGCTCACTGCTGACGTCATAGTATCCTGCCTCGCTGTTTACGTCATCCAACTGTTTACTGACCTGTGACGTTGGTGAGGCACTGCCCCTGGAGTGTTGCTCATCGCCGTCGAAGTCGTCTGAATATTGACCGGAACCAACGGACTTTGTAGGACTAGAAATTGATGTTTTATCTCTGAGAGTATGTTCTTGTGAAGATTCCTTCTGTCTTAAACCGTCCTGTGGTAACGACTTATGATTTATCTTTTCTCGTATTTTACTTTTCCTTTTCGAACTAAGTTTAGCAACTGAATCTTCATTTCCTTTGTGAACTGAAGTAGCTTGACTGCGAACTGACTTATTTGAATCTAAACTCGATGTCGATCCACTTTTGATAGACCCACGATCAGACGCGCACTCTTCTGTCGAATTTTCTAATCCTTGTTCTGAAAAGTTATTTTGTGCGTCAACACTGCTGTTGCCTTCTGGTAGTGTCGGTTCCTGGACGTTATCTCTATTGTCTATGTTGCTCAAACTAGCTCTGACTTGTACTTGTTCTACAAAGTCTTGATTCTCTTGGCAATCACTTGTCGTGCCGTTTGCTATTGGGGGATTGTGAGAAACATCTGCCGATCCGAAATGTTCTTGGTTTATTTCATTCGATTTCGATTCAGCTTCAAGGTCTGGCTCGACTAGACTTTGTACCTCGTCTGCTCTTTGTTCCAAGTTCTCTCTTTCTAATTCTGAATTTTGCTCAGCACATCTGTGATCCTCTTCACACAATACACTCCTTTGATCGGAAGACTGTGCACCAGGCTCTTCACAACTTTGATCATCTACGTTTAATGTCTCCTCATCTGCCTCATCAAGAGTATTATTTCTATCGCGAATATCTTCAGATGTGTCAACGTTTCTTTTTTCTGACAGCCCACACTCCCCGTCTACAAAATCGAAAGAGCCGGTCTCAGAAACAGAATCGCCAGTTCCAACTGTCGGTCCGACAAGATCCCGCGGGGTGTCTAGATCCTCACAAGTTGTAGGAACTGGTACTTTTTCCGACTTAGAAGAACTAGCAGTCGACGCGAGACTAGAAGTTTCGCCAAGCTTACCCTCGGGTACAGAATCGTCTCCCTTACCACATTGAATATCATCAGGTATTACAACACTTTCCTTATTTTCCGAATCATCAAACGAACCATCGACAACATCCGTGAACTTCTCTTTTTCAGAACTACAGATATTTTCTTCTTGGGTCTCTGTCTTTAATTCTTCCGGGTCTTCTTCCTTTTCGGTTTCTGTCACTTGCTCCCGGTACTGCCCTAAAGCGTTGTCAGTGACGCTGAGAATGTACTCGGAAATCTCTGACAAAACGGAGGCTCTGGCACTTCTGATAAGCTGCTCCTCCGCTTTTCTCTCCCCAGAGTCAACAGATGAGTTTACATCTTCAGTAGGAGCGTCGTCTTCGGTTTCCTCTTTAATGATTTCAAGCGAGTGTGGCTGTGTGGGTCCGTCTTTCTGGTTTTCAGTTGTGGGTCTCGAACTTGTATTTTCTTCCTCAGAATCGTTCCTGTTTAGAGTGTTTACCTCACTCTCGGGTCGGGTTTCTTCTAAAGGAGATACGTCCTGACTTCTCGCGTCGCTTACTGGAGTGGTGCTACTTACGATCGGCTCGAGATTTTGGTGTTCAGGATTTGAATTGTTAGCGGCGCTCTCCTGTCTTTGAGAGTCAAAAACTTCTGTGTTATCTGGAGTAAGATCGTCGGGGTTTGTGTTGCTGGCTTCTGTGTTCTGTTGTTTATCACTGCCGCCAGTTTCAGAATTTTCCGAAGACTGGTTTTCGGAATTTGACTCCGCCCCAACTCTGTGTTGTCCACCAGTCTCCCCGGTGTCTGGGTTATCTCCCCCTGTCTCTGAACTCTCCGCCTTCCCGTGGCCTCTCTGCTCCAACTGTTCGGTCTCCGCCACAAACTGACAGTAGCTCGTATACAGACTAGCCGCCGCCGCTTGACCGCTGGTCACTCCATGGTCCGCGACTCTCACCACACGAGTGTCCCGACCTCCTCGTTCCAACCTTCCCCCAGCACGGCGAATGCGCTCAGCCGTGGTGGTCACTAAACCAAATCGCGATCTGCCCACTCGTCTCTTTGTTTTATAACCTGTAATCACGTCAGTGAGAAAATCCCGGCCCGAGTGACCGCTCCACTGGACGTAATTGTTGGAAGGGGAAACGGTCAGTGGTGCTTGTGTGGACGAGACGCTCTCGCCCTCAGGTGACCAGTCCTCCGATCTGGATACAGCTCTGACTGCCTGCTCTGTGTCTGCTGCCGCGGTGGTTTCCCTTCCGTGGTTAATCCCAGATTTACCGGTGTCCTCTGTATAATCCTTTGTGAAACACGTCGAGTTTGTGGAACAAATCTCAGATCTTGGCTCTTTTGTCTCAGTAGCCTCAGGGGAACGACACTCGGCGCCTTGCACAGCGCTGTGCTGTTCATCAGACTGGGGACTGTTGTGGACGCCTGAAGCATTGGCCACCTCTGTACTCCTTCCCAGCTCCTCGCTCTTATCCACACTCAGAATATCAACGTCTATGTATCTCTTCTGTATCTCTCTTCGGCTCCTCTGCTCCTCTGTTGTTTCAACCCGTCCGATCGATCCCGAAATGTTCTCGGCCTGTCTCCTCTTCATTTGGTTCGTCAGAAGTTCTGCTTCGTCAGCCATAACGACAGAGACGGACATAATAACAGGTTCTTCAATCCCTAAATATCCACGGGTCGCTGTCACAGTCTGTAATCACTGTGTGATCCTCAGATCGCTCAGAACAAAAGATCTACGTTCTAAACGTCACCAGTCTGAAAA